TTAAGTTAACTTTAACCCACGACACAAGCTTATGACATAACCGGATTTCCTAACAATTTTAGCTACATTAACATCTCTTGAGCTCATGGTTGGACAGGAAAGCTTGCAAACATGATGCAAGTCTTCCAGTGAGGCTGCTAACCTCTTCCAAGTTTACTGAAAAATACATCTTATGGTTTAAGACAATCTTCTTTGTGTTTGGGGAAAAGAAGGCCATGACATAGGGCACTGGAGATAACGACTGGAGCCTTATCCTGCAACCACCCAGTTCAAGAGTTTCTGCTGGACTAAATTCCCTCAGAGTATAGCAATAGTTTCCAATGGAAATCTAAAGCCTAAAAGCACAGCAGGAGCTTTAGGACTGTAACACTGTGGTCTGGTGCTTGGTCAGCCTTCTGGATTAAGCACAAACTGTCATTCACAGCTCTTCCAATGCACATCGAATTATTATCCCCATGTCAAGAAAACTCAGATGATAGCATGGGAGGTTACTGAATCTCATCATTCTATTCTGTATTGAATCACATTTTTGACTGCAGTTTTGCATGTTGTTAAAGGCACACTAGTAAGTCCTAAACCTGTTACACCTGGGCACATTACCCGTGCAGAACTTTACATCTGGTCTATCCATACTTTTTCTCATGGGAGTGATTTTAACTCCTTTCATACCTGGTTGCAGGGCCGGAGCCCAAGTCCTATTTCCACTAAGCTCATAAGAAAGGTTTGTTTTCACTTCCAGCCTCTTAGAAATCCTTGATCCACCTAGTATTCTGCTTGGGGCACTACAGGAGATTTAGTTTTTCTATTGTTTTTGCCATTCCCCATTTGTCACATCACCTTCCTGATTCAGAACAAACTTCTCAGTTATCTCTCTCAGTGCCTTCCCACTTTGTGCCGCTAAAGCCTGTGGAATACTACCCAGTTGTAGGAGCTCTGAAGTAAAGAGCTCATATTTCTTGCTGTTGAATTATACTAACTCAGAGAACAGTGCTGGACATTTTATGCTGATATTTTTTTTTCCATTTCAGTCCATTCAGTTTTGGAATACGGAAAATTAGAATATGAAAAATAACGAAAAATGTAATTTGCTAAAAATCTAACCAAGAAATTACTAATGAAATCAGGGCTAAGCTTACAGGAAAGTTCACAATTATGAACTATTGAACAAATCTAAATAACAAGGTCTGAGAGATGGCATTTATTTCTATTATGAACTCTTCAATGATGATTCTGACAGAGTTAACTGACGGGTTTCCATTTTATGTCATCATAGCATATTGCGTTTGGTTGATTAATTGATTTCCTGGCCCAGAAGTTTGCCTTGTGACTCATAACTCCAATTGCACTAACAAGAAATTTACCATGTTAATGTACTTTGCTATTTACAAATAATTCGAATGAATTGTTAATGTATTCTTCAAAATTTATTTGGGTTTGTGCATTAAACTGTGTAAGAAGGAATTTTCACCAGCCCCAAGTTGAATATGAAATAGTTTTCCAGGCACAATATTAAAAAAAAAAACAGTTTTTATAATTTTGAACAAAACTTCCTATTTTCTAGGGAGAAAAGCTTTTAATTGTAATTGCATTGAAGCTTTCCTTCATTTGTTTTGTTTAATTTATGAATTTAAACTGTGAAGTTCACAGTGTTTTATTATGCCCCATTGATGATACTGTTACTAATTTGTCCTAGGTTTTGATTTGCCATAAAGACTATGCCCCAAGGGTCTCCCAGGAAGTATAAAAGTTTGACTTATTTGAATTGCAAGTATTCAGAAAATTTGTTCTATACCCTGCATTTCTAACAGCTAGTTTTTCTTCCAGTAGGAATGTAGTTGCAATGTCTAACCCTGCCTCTCCCCTGCTCTTTTTTTTTTTTCTTGTCAGGGAAATAGGAAAGATTGACATCTCAGGAATGATTCATTGCAAGCCTGAGCAAAGTTTGAATCAATCTGTGATTTTAGAGTTGTCATCAAAGGTACGTTTCTTTAGGTAAGAAATCGCAGCAGCTTCTGCAAGTCAGCATTCTGTTTCTGATATTACACATGTAGGTAAGCTGAACCATAGGCTCCTGAGAACTACAAAGTTCTCAGTGGTTTCTAGAGCAGTGTGACTAGTGTCAGCCATGAAGGATTTAGCCCTGTTTCTCTCTTTTATACCACTATTGATTTGAAAGAAACAGTTCCCTGGTTTTTCCTTTCCTCATAGTTCACTCTGCATTCTGATGAAGTTGTTAATTATACCCAAGTTTTACTTAAAATATTACAAAGTATTTAAATATGTTAATATATGGGATTAATTGCACTAATACTGAAACTGAATGAATGAGTGGCTTGTTTTATCTGACATAACTAGCTTTTTAATATTGAACCACAGAAGGAAATTACTCCTATGTTGATTTTGTCCAAGCATAACATTGTTTTTTCCTTCCCCTGTATTTGAACTGTCTATTTTTGAATACTGTTGAACTTCTACACCCTCTAGTCCAAGAATACCAAATTTCATTACGTAGTGAGTTAAACCATTGGGAATTCAGCCTCAAAAAGGCCCCGAGTGCTTTTTAGACTGTACGCTCAGTGCTGTTAGACTGAGTTGCTCCTCTCTGCAAAGCCTCCCTACCCTCAAGGAGATCAACACATCTGCTCAATCTGGTATCATCAGCAAACTTACTGAGGGAGCACTCAATCCCCTCATCCAGGTCATTGATAAAGATGTTAAACAGGACAGGCCCCAAAACTGATCCCTGGGGAACACCACTGGTGACCGGCTGCCACCTGGACTTAACTCCGTTCACTACAACTCGCTGGGCTCGGCCGTCCAATATGGACATTTATTATATATGCACGTGCACATGTGCCAGTTGGAAAACACATGCTGAGCTTCACTACTTGGCTGAACACGGGGACATGGAGCTGCAGCAGTGTTGTACTGCATCCACATACTGCATTTGGCAACTCTTAACAGCAGGATTTATCCTATGCTGGTATCTCAGAAACAAAAAGCTCTGTAGGGTGTCGGAGGCAGTGAAATTTTGGGAGGCAGCAAAGGCTTTAAGGGAGAGGTGATGCAGGAGACTGTGTTTAACAGAAAAGAACCCGTATGAATGAAGGGGCAGTAAGTACAATGCCATGTGAGTACAATGCCATGTCCATTTCAGAATAAAGTGGTGTTTACTTTCTGGGAGGATCCCCAGAGTTCAGGTATAGAGCTCTGGGGATTTATACTTGAGATTAATTTCTGTACTGCCTGTTGGCAATCAAAAAAAGTGTCCCTTCAGACACATTACACAGAAGACTCTGGCTTTAAAAACTAATTAATGTAGGGAGCTGAACAGAGTGGAACAGCACTTCGTTTCACCTACTGTCTGAGAAGATACACGGAGCTTTCTGATAAGGTCTCCCTAATCAAAAACGCGGATCTGAACAAATCACATTTGTCCAGATGCTACAGGTGAGGAAACTCTTGTGTATAAATGTTAGTAGCATTCTTTTAGCAATAATTATCTGCTGTACATCCAAGTGTAGCTCTCAGTTTGTTCAGCCACCTGAAGTTACATAATGGATTGAGCAACTGTCCGATTCAGTATGAATGCATTTCACTAAGGTAAAGGGGACACAGCAATGGATTAGAAATGCTAGTTGGTTTAATGATAAAACTGTAATTATTCTGTGAACTGTGCATTCATTTTAATATGGACTTCACTGAAAATAACTTCTTCAAAGTTGTTCTGACTTCACTTTAATCACCACCTGCAATCTTCATCATGACAGAGAGCTGAGAAACCCCACCCCACACCCCAAAAAAACCAACCCAGAAAAAGAAAGACATCAAGGGCAAGTTAGGCAGTAAATTTGTGCAAGATTGCCCAAAAACTGTTCCAAGTTTGTGCAGAGATTAAAGCTTGCAACTCAGATCTACATTGCTCAGCATGGTGAGGGTAGTATGCACCTTCCACTGGAGTCAAAGGGAAAAACAGGGAGAAGGGAGCTACAGTGTAGAGTGAAGGACATAACATTCTTAGGAAAACTCTCTGTTTTCTTTCCTTTTCCTTGATCCTTCCATTCCAGATCTCCGTGGTCACAGTTTGTGCTGCCTCACCTCTAGCACAGGATGCAGAATGAAACAACTGTCACAGAATTCATCCTCCTGGGGTTCTCCAGCAGCCCAGCCCTGCGGCTCTGCCTCTTTGGCCTTTTCACTGTCCTCTACTCTGCCACTTTGATTGGAAACACACTTGTCTTTGTGCTTATCTGCCTGGACTACCACCTCCACAGCCCCATGTACTTCTTCCTCTGCCACCTCTCCATCGTGGACATCTGCTACGCCTCCAACAACGTCCCCCATATGCTGAGGAACCTCCTTGGACAAGGCCGAACCATCTCCTTTGCTGGCTGTGGGATACAGATACATCTTTATTTAATCTTTGCGCTTACAGAGTGCGTGCTGCTGGCTGTGATGTCTTGTGATCGCTATGTGGCAATCTGCCATCCCCTCCGCTATGCCCTCATCATGAACCGGAGGGTGTGCCTCACCCTTGCCACAGCTTCCTGGGCTTTTGGGTTCGTATTTGGTACACTGCAAGCCTCTCTGGCTTTACACCTGCCTTTCTGTGGCCCCTGTGAGGTTGACCACTTCTTCTGTGAAATCCTTGCTGTCTTAAAGCTGGCCTGCACTGACATTACTGCCAATAAAGTCCTGATCTTTGCTGTTTGCGTGTGCTTCCTCCTCTTCCCTTTGGCCTTGATCCTAGTATCCTACCTGCACATCCTGGCCACCATTCTGCGCATCCACTCTGTGCCAGGATGGCACAAAACCTTCTCCACCTGTGGCTCCCACCTGACGGTGATGTGTCTGTTTTATGGAAACGCCATCTTCATGTACATGGGGCCCGGGAGCAGCAACTCATCTGGGAGAGAGAAGGTTCTTTCCCTTTTCTACAGTCTCGTCAGCCCCACTTTGAACCCTCTGATTTACAGCCTGAGGAACCAGCAGGTGAAGGAAGCCTTGCTGAAGCTTCAGAGAAGGAAAAGAGTCTTTCATTCCATGTAGTTTGGGCTCTAGGTTTTCACCTGTCTCTTGTCTTTCTTGAGCTCTTTGGGTATTTCTCACTGAATTTTAAGTGGCTCAAACATAACACAAGAGATTGTTCAAATGCATTTGTCTCTGTTTCTTTGTACAGTCTACTGAATAGCATAATACAAAATGACTAATTATTATCCCTTTTATTACAGATAACTAATTATTCTTCCTCATATGCAGCCATCCCAGGCAGGTAGTATGTTTTACCAGAACTATTGACCCAGCTGGAAAAAATAGTTCGTCTCCTCAGTTCTAACTAGCAGTCAGAATTAACCACTATATAGCAGGCTGGGGTTTTTTCCCGAGTATATAATTGATAT